TGGAGATATAGCACAATGTATTTCAAGGGGATCATCTTTCCGATTTCAAGGTATGAATGCAAGAAGACAGCTAAGGATGATTACCACACATAGTATTTTTTTTAATATTCATTTATAATAACAATGGTTTAATCTTAATATAGATCTGAAGGCTTTGATATATAAATGGGAACTTGATCGATCCAATCAACCTAGTGCCATAATGCCAAAACTGTTTGAAATGAATATTAATTATCGTTCACACAATGGGATCCTTAGACTTGCTTCATCAGTAATTGATCTCATCACTCACTTTTTTCCTGAATCCATTGACCATCTGCCACATGAGCATGGTGAGGTTGGTGGTCCTCGGCCTATGGTTTTTGAAGGGATTGATGCTGAAGCATTCTTTCTCCTTGACTTTTCTAAGGATGGGAATGAGTCAAGTAATGTTGAATTTGGTGCTGAGCAGGCCATTATTGTACGTGATGATGAAGCTAAAGAGCATGTGAAGGAAAAAATTGGTAAAGAATTTGGTTTGGTATTAACTGTGTTTGAGTCCAAAGGGATGGAGTTCAATGATGTGCTGTTGTATAATTTCTTTGCTGATTCACCTGCACATTCAAAGGTAAAGTATTATGCACTGTTTGAACCATGCCATATTAATCACTTATTAAATAATTATATGCACATATTCAGTGGCGGGTAATTTTCTCTGCTTTTGACAACCACTCAAAAGGAATTCAAGAATTTTATCATGAGAAACATTATATCCTTTCTTCAGAACTCAAACATCTTTATGTTGCAGTGACAAGAGCACGCCAGCAAATTTGGATATATGATGAAAACACTGAATGGAGGGAACCAATTTGTAAGTATTGGAAGCACCATGGATTGATCAATGTGATTGTGAATGAAAATGAAAACGATACTTTGTCTACTTTGGATGAGGAAGGAAGTGGTAGTCCATATCAATGTCACTCTAAACAAGCAAAAATAGCTTTGTCTAATTTGGCTGAGAAAAAGAAAAGCAGTACAGATGAATGGGATCAACAAGGAAAAATTTTTTTTGAAAGACAGCAATATGATCTGGTAAAATTTGCATTTGAAATATTCTATTATGAACTGAGTTAACTAAATGTAAACAATTCACTTTTAGGCTGTTTTTTGCTTCAAGAAAAGTGGAAATGAAGAGAATGAAGAGCTAGCAGAAGCATATCTTTTTCAGCAGGTTGCCAGAGATTCTATATATGATTACGATGATGTTTCTGTGAACTCCAAATTCATTCGTGCTGCTGAAGCCTTTGTAAAGTGTTCACTACCAATTCAGGCAGCTTCATGCTATGAGGTAGTATCTTTGTTTTTACTTGAGTTTTTTTAAATTTCAGGAATGAATGGATGCATCAGGAAATTTTTTCAGACATAATTATTATGAGTTCATCATGTAAAACTAAATTGTTATTATTATTACACTAATTAAGCCTGGAAGAATTCCCTGATGTGACACGAAATAGTGACTTTAAAAAATTAATCATGTCTATATGTATTCATCCAGGATATAAACAAGCATGAAAAAGCTGGTGACCTTTATGTAGAGTGGGATATGCTTGAGCCTGCTGCTCATTGTTACTCCAAAGCCAAAAAATGGGATAAAGCAGGCAATTATTTTCAACAGGTGGAGAAGTATACTGAAGCTTGTCAAGCTTATAAAAATGGTGGACTTGATGAAAAAGTAAAAGATTTGATTCAAAGGTAACTATTCCCATATATCTTAATTTATGTTTCACATATATATTAATGCTATTACCAAAACATGACTTTTTGAAAAATAAGCATAGCATGACATCTAGAAATTTTTTTATATGAATTTTATGTTGTAAAAAAACTTGTGGATGATAAACTGACACCTGTCTAATTATTTTAACAAGATACAGGCAAAAAATTGATGAAAATATCATCAATGATTATTATTACTCTATTGCCAAAGAACTATGTTCATGTGGCAAGTTTGAAGAGGCCATCCATGTTATTATCATGAACTTGAATAAGATCAATTCAGAAAATATTGAAGTGTTAAAGTGTTTCATACACCTATGCAGAGTCAATGTAATAAAAAATATAATGACAAGTTCAAATAGCAAACAGGAAATGAATGGCAAACGGGAAGTGAATAGCAAACAGGAAGTGGATGGCAAACGGGAAGTGAATAGCAAACAGGAAGTGGATGGCAAACAGGAAGTGGATGGCAAACAGGAAGTGGATAGACTTCTTTCCAAGGCAAATGAATTTGTAGAGAAATTCAAATCAAAATCATTGGAAAAATCTGAGCAGTGGAATAGTTTGATGAATGAGATTCAATTATATGTAGCTTATTTAAATGAGGACCTCAATAGTGTTTGTGGATGTATGCAATTCTTTAAAGGTCGCAAAGAACGTGTTGCAGAATTTTGTGCAATAAACATATATCTGCAAACCATCCCTCAATCAATAAAGCACTGGTATAAACGATTGCAACGTCTGTTAAGGTTATGTGATTTAACTTTTGGCTTTATAGCAAGTCAAAATGCCAACAATATCAAGAAAATATTTTTTGTAAACAAGGTTGAAAATTATTCACATAAATGGAAAATTTTCTTAGACAATCCATTCCTTAATATATGGGACAATATTCATCCTAAAATCATGGGTGATTGGTGTCTTTGTGATGCAGATGATTTGCATCTAGAAATGAAGAAATCCCTTGCCTCATATATCTTTGAGCTCATCTGTGAAGTTGACCAGAAAAGTAGATCTATTCCAGATGTAAGTTCTCACATCTGTCAATTTTTTTTATCCTGTCAAAAATCAGGTTGCAAAGATCATCATGTAGTTCCAACATCATTAATTCTGCACCAACGCTTGAAGCTTGCAAGTCTTACTTATACTGTTATTAGACAGTTGAATGTGATGTACAATCAACATGAGCTTCTTAGAGAGGAGCAAAGTAAACAAGTTTCTGGAATACAAAGGAGGTGGGCTGAAAACCTGGTTAAATATCATATACGTTATCAATCACCTAAGATAAGCTGCCCAGAAATAACTCAAATGATGCTTTCAGAACTTCCTAAACACACACGATCTGGATTTACTAGTCTTGCTCAAAAGATATGGTTATATAAAGAGTCCAAGGATGCTGACAACTTTGCAGCTATGCTGAAATGCATATTTATTTTACAACAGTTGAAAGACAAACAGGGCATTGATGATTTTGATTCGGAAATGTCAAAAACCAAAGAGTTTTCATGCCCTGATAATTTACCCATTGGTTTTGAGAAGTGTGGTGATGATGATCAAGCAATTCCAGTTGGAAAACGACTTTCACTATTCTTTGAGAATCTCTATGAAAATAAAGTCAATCAGGCAATTTCAAATGCAAATGAGTTTATTTGGTATGCTATAAAAAATGTCAAACCTGTCCAATTGGATAACTCTGATGTTTTGGGTGACCTTGTATCTCTTATGGAGTTTAAAATGGCTTTGGTTTTTGCAGCTGGTCCTAAATCTTGTGACTTTTGTCTTCCTCGAGCATATCTTGTTAATTATTTTAAAGCATTCACTATGAAGCCACTCCTTTTGAATCGGCTACAATCTTACAACATGAAGGGCTATCGAGCTATAATTGATAATTCATTCAATCAAGTTAAGAAGCTTCTTTTTCATCAGGATGACCTGAATATTATTCTTAGGCTGATACGACTCTTGGTCCTTATCAGTCTGAATGAATTCACTTTTGCACAAAAGATCTTTAATCTTTTCAATCACTTAAATAATAAAATCTTTTTCTCTGAGACCAAGAAATATCTTGCTAAAGATTATATGAAAAGTTAAATATTCAATTATTTTTTAAAAATGATATTATAACATACAAATACATAACTGTTTTTTTTAATATTTAGACAAGTCTATAACAGAGTCACTTATGAAAATTTTGAACGAAGACTTAAAGGAAAACGGCTTTGACTCTCTAGTTATTGTTTATTACGATCAAGGTGGGAACTCAAAATTTTCCAACTATGAGAAAGATGGCATTGTGAAGCTTGCATACTCTTCTATCAAGGAATTTGATTCTGCTCTTCAACAAATCATATCACCACCCATTGCTGTTGTTTATGAGGATTTTGATCAAAAGAAGTTATTAAAAGAAAAGATTCGCAATGAAATTAATATTTTTTGCCAGGATATCTTAAGAGAGAATGAAGGAAAGGCATTGAGCAGGTATATTATTCTCTTGAAAGGTCCAACGGTAGATTCAATAGTGAAGCTAAATGAGTTGCAGAGCAAAATGAATGCAACCAAAGTCAAATTGAATGAGAGAAGTGTTAATACTTTTGATATGGACATAGTTGAAGAATGTTCCGACCTGCAGGAAGAACTTAAGTTTGTTGACACAATTTTAATACTTCTTTGGTAGTTTCTTTCTATCATACAAACTCATTTAAAATTTTTCTTTTTAGGTCTATCCATTATGAAAATGTTAAACTAGCATTAAATTCATTGTTACCAACTGAGAATGTAGAAGAACACAAGCAAGAAAATGTTGAATGGTTAGAAAATAGATTACAAGAGGCGGATGATATAATTGATCAGGCTTATGAATGGCTTGATAAGTGCAAGGATGCAATGAAACCTGGATAATTGTGAATTTCTATTTTCTTTTGTTATTCTAATGAGATTCAGTGTAAAAGGTCATATTCCCAAATAAAATACAAAGTGTAAATAAGTTGATTCGTTTGTAATGATGTTTTATAATGTATATATTCTTTATTTAACAAAATTTCATATCTTTTTGATAATATATTATTCGAACCATCTATATATTTCGTTTCCTCCATCTTTTATTTTATTTTAAACATTTTGGCCCTAGTGTTAAAGAATAACAGCAATCGTAAGAAATATTTTACAACAATTGAAAAGAAATGATTGTTGCAACTTGTAAATCATATTGGTAATAAAGAGACCTTTTGCCTGTCACTTGGAGTTTGGAGAAATAATTCATTTTAGCCTCTTCCATACTTTTTGGCTAAAATAAAAACCAACGTATTAATCATCTGATTTATCTCATTCTTGAATATTTAAAGGGTGGTATCAAGAAATCGGCCAATCAAGAACTTTAGCAGAACAATTTTGGACGTTTATCATTTAAATCAACGCAACCGCATAAACATCATCGATAGTATAATGTTAATGTTTGCATAATTTTGGGCAAGTAAATTTATGAAGTTCCTGTGAATACTGTAAATTTGGTGGGTTTTTTCATTATTATGATTCTTAGTTTTTCGTAATCGCAAATCTTCTCTGAGGCATCATAATTATGAAGCCTAAAACAACATTCACTGATTACAACTTCCAGAATGTTACTTGGTATAAATGACATCTTGAGTTTCTCAATACCCATCAAAATGAATGCTTTGCTCGTTTCAGAAACTAAAATATCAATATTCAGTCTGAAACACTTGGTTCTAGTAGTTTTATCATTAGAATAGAACACAAACAGATTTATGAAATTTTTCGCGCACCATTAGCTACCATTGGCTGCTCCTTTAATTTGAACATTTAATATGTATACTAACAAAAGACAAAAAGGTCATTAGTAAAATTTAAAAATTATGATGTAGCATAAGCCTATATTCGAGTTATAATATAATTGATACAGACATTTATTAAATTTATATTAAATTTATTGAAATCCATTAAAAATAATGTTGTTGTTATCTGTAAATAAACAAACTACCCCAACCTAGATTTTATTTTTGATGAGTATTAAATGTATCTAATCAATCGATTACAGGTAATTGTTAATTAGCTGTTAATTGATTACAAGCAATATTACACCTTGGATATGGGCCAAATTGGCTTTTGTCGATCACGGTGTTATACTACCAAAGAAATATAATTAATGCTGGTCCAGAGAATAGAAATAATATAATTGGATTTTTTCTTCAAATCATGTCATGTCCCATATGGAAATGATAAATTTTGTCCGCGTTATTAATATTTCAAAAATCAAACCGTTGGAAGGCGTGGGAATTCATTTTCCGTATGTTCTCCGTGCAAGCTTTTTTATAGTAATAGTAACTCTGTATCAATTTCTATTCTACAATCACCATTTGGTCCAATGTTTCTTCCAGATACAAATTTGATATTATTATGTTAATGAAGGCGAAAATATTTGTGTAAGGATTAAGATAGAAAATAATAAAAACGGGTAGTTATAGTGGTTTTAGATGCTTTTATAGGTACTAAAAATGTCCAATAAAAAATTGGTTTATCGGCCATGCTCTATCTATTATTATTGAACTGTTGTTATTAATATTAATCGTTGATAAAATAATTAATCGTGAGCGAAACAATTTAATCATGAATGTAATATATTTTCTAAAAAATAAAATAGGAATCTACAGTGGCTATTTCCAATACTAACAGGTTGGACGGACGCCTTTAAACACTAAAACAAAAACATTTCAAAATATTAACAGATAAGCTTTATTATTTATGAATTATGAATTATGTAATTTAGACGCAGCAATCAATTGTTTAAAGTACTTGATAATATAAAATAAGTGATCACTTATCGAGTTTACATATGAATTTAGCTTTGACATTAAAAATCAAAAAAAAAAAATTACATTAAAATATAAAATATATGAATTAAGGATATGCTACAGTGTATGTGCCTTCTACACATAATAAAGTCCTGCCTTCACTGACAACTGAATAATAAAATTGTAAATATTTATTAGAAAGTCAGTTTCCAAGCAAAATTAATAAAACAATATGAGATAACTTACGAGTCGATTTTACGAGGTATTGGATAGTTTCATTTACAGGTTGAGTAGGACTACTAGGAAACACATATTCTAGTGTAAAGTGAAGGTGTCCTGCCGGAATTGGACAATCTATATTAGGGGGTTTTGAATCACCTTCACAATAATTTTCCTCGTTTGTAAATATTGGTGTACCATCAAGTAAGGTAACATTCAAGACAGAGACGGTTTCTCGTCCAATTTCGACAGTGCTATACCATACAACATGTTCTACCACATTTTCACCAGGTATAATTATTGATGGAGTGTATATATCCTCTGTAACAACTATAGGAAAGTCACCATCACACTGAGTAAACGCACCAAATTCTGGTGCTCTTTTTCTGAAATCACTATGCGGAAGTGAATTTATTATTGTTGTAAATAATGTCAATAACAAGAACAAGTGAATATTATTATAATTAATTGCGTACATTTTGAGTTATTATAATTTTGATTTTTTAATTTGTTTTACTTTAATCAAATTCTTTCTTTATTTATATGAAAAAACCCAACACAAGATTCCTTATATCAGCATTGGAGTTTAACAAAGTAAAGAATCCTAAAGACTCATGTGTGTCCATATACGTATATTAACGATACATCAGTATTTTTGCCGAGGTCAATCATTTACTAATACTAGTATTAAAATGTGGCAGTCCTATTTGGGATCGGACCGGACTTAAGTCTTGGGACTTGGAGTTCTGAAAAAGTCCTAAGCTTTTTTTATACATAAAATGTTCGTAACGTTGCGAGGTAGCTTTTGATCAACTTTGATTATTTAACGGTTTATGTCGAGCTTGGTTTAACTTTTTAGCTACACTCGTCGATTAAATTGTTTTACGAATTTATTTACAATTACCCTTCTAGCTGCTTTTTCTTGTACCTATAAATCTTCGGTGAATCTATAAGCACAATTTTATGGCGCAAATAACAACGAATTATAATAAAAGCAACAAATCTCTCTTATAGAGTTCCTATTTAATTTTACTTTAAACTTACTTTGCTTTTGCCGATTAAAGTCAGCCGTACGTTTACAACAATTACTTTTAACACAATACAATATGCGACGACGATAACTGTTAGCTCTTTGTATAGGTGGTTGACCAGTAATAACTGTTAATTGATGATCCGTCTATGAATCAGTGAATTTTAATTAGTGATCGGAGGGGGGAAAATGTCACGAAAACGACTAATCGAGTACCTTTGCATAAAAAGTTGTAATATACTTTTGTTCCATATATAAAGAAAAAATTATACGCTCAGTAAGTTTAAAATTTTATTTGGATAAACATAATAAAATATAAAAAATTCAATGATTTTGTTATTTTCTTTATTTATAATTGAAGATTCTTTTTTATATTTTTGATTAAATTTTGAGACACATTATTTAATTTGCTGAAGTGTTAGTATATCATCTTCAATTTCATTTCTCTTGGCCAGAACATAGAGATTATCTAACATATCTTCAGCTGAGAGCTTCATATAATTATATATAATTATCAAAATTACCTTGGAGAAACATTATCTTGAGCTTTTCTACAACATTTACATTTAGATGTTTACCACCACCTTTTTTCCAAATTTTTGATAGCTTTTCAATACAAACCCAGGTAATAATTTTTCTTTCAACAAAACCTTTCTGAAATAAATGATAAATGACTATGATATTTTAAGATTTTTTTTAATAAAATTTTTTGATAAATATTTACTCACATATCTATACATTGATTATAACTCACATCCATTTTATTTATATTATCTCCAAATTCTTGTAAATTTTTTTTACCTCACTTTTAGATCCTGTTGAATCTACAGGGCGTTTAGGAAAAAATGGCGGTTAGTAAAAATATTGTTTTTAATGAAAGAGTAGCCAAAATTATATGATGAAAATTATACCAGAGAATCGAAGGATCTTAGATTATAACATATGAAATTTTTGAGGCATGTTATTTTATGTAGCAATTATTAAAGATATTTACACATTGAATTGTTTTTTCAAAATAATCAAATTCCTTTTATTTCCAATTGACAAAATTTAGAAAATTTGGAAGTATGAAAGTTTATATATATATATAATCTCCAGAACTTTCATTACAAGCTGGTATTTTTTTTTTGTATGATTATTATGTATATATTTGTGTCAGAATTAAAAAATTCCGTGTTAAAATTTCAGACAAAAATTTAGCAAAGTTTTAAAAAAGATATGAATTAGCTTTACAGAAAATTGGCAATAGCAGATCATGTCTATTTTTTTTATTTAACAAGGTAATTTGATAAAATTTCAAACGAATCTAAATTTATTTAATTATGTTATGTGATTGTTGAGATATGCAATTTTTTGTCACCGTCGTTTTTTTCTTAACACACTGCATATTATAAAGTTGATTTGTGTAAGTTTTATAGTGAAGCAAGAAATTAAACAATGATTATTGAAGGATTTGCAACTTGATTAGTTTGTTTGTTTTTACCCAAGAGTAGGCGAATTGGTGATGTTTTTATAATGTTCAAACACAAGGCGGGATTATTACCTTGTTTTGATGCCGATCAAATAAAAACAACGATATATTTAAATCACATAAAGTATGTCTTGAATAGGATGTAAATTTTTTTATGGTCAAGCAAATTCAACCTCGAGGGTCAGCTTTATTGATCTAAAAATATATACCAATAATACAAAGATTCTCATATTGATGGCTCATTATCTTCTACATATCACTCTGGAACTTTGTTATTATTGTTATTCGGTCTAGTCACTGGTGCATTTGACAGCAGAGAAGTGTTAACGATCATGATATTCTATATAACCAAACAAATAATCAATCAACTGCCATTTGTAACCCGAATCAGAAAATCAGAAAATCAAATAAAAATAATACCCGTGAATACATCTTTTTCGTCATACAGTTCAACTGGGATTTCGATTGGACGTCTTTTATATTTTTAATGAATATATTCAGACGCATCATCTCTCCAGCAACTTGGAATACCAATTTTACTCCATCTAGTCCCGCGCCTCATTCCATCATTCATTTCTCTCTGTAACTTAATTTTGTCGTTCATATTTTTGACCGATTTTTATATATATGGAATTTTTTCAATGTAATCCGAAAGAAGGGGAACCACCACATCAGTCACATATGTTCCTTCACTCTGTGTATATACAAAAATCGGTCTGAAAGCTGGGTTCTTCCACCTGCTACTATTTGAGAAAAAAAAAGTTAGCGTAAAAAATAAATGCCTCGTTTTTTTATGATAAAAAGTATTTACAAGGTGCTGAAGATATTTTCCCATAGAACTTCATCTGATTTCACTAAAATTTCCCGCAAATTCCTTTTGCGTGGAACTTTTGTTATGAGATTAATTGGAGTTGCCAACTTTAGATATGATCTACATAATTTATTCCAATTAATCTTGACCCATTAAATATTATCAGCAATGATGATGATGATAAGGAAGATGGTGTTGACACTATGGAAATTGATAATGATGATATACAACAATGGAAAAATGCTAAATCTATTTCCACTTCAATTTCGCCTGCTGCTACTTCTGCTTCTAATACTTCTGCTTCTAATACTGCTAAAACAATAAAAAAACCAAGACGTACAAAACGAAGAATTACAACTGATGAAGAGGATAAAGAGGTTGAGGTGGGAGAAGCAGGATTTTATAATACTTCAGATGATGATAACATTGAAAAAGGAAAAATATAATAAAAACTGTATAATAATACTATTTATTTGTACATTTTATTGAATATGTCATAATGACTGCAATTTACTATAGTATCTGTTAAATTAGTAAATTAGTGAACATTCAATAAAAAATTGCTTTTTAACAATGAAATATGGTCCTATATTTTGTATGACCTTAAATAAAAGTATAGAACTCAAGAACTATCTTATAAAATTTTTTAAACTCCATTAATTGATCTCTAGTTT